GGTTGGGGTTTAGGGTCTACCTGGACCCCCAAAGTATGTAGAATAATGGCCTTTTGGGCTACATTTAGGGGTTTTGGGCCATGATTTTACTTACTTTGGGGGTTTAAGTAGGGTCTAGGTTTTAAGGTTTCGGGTGTAGGACTGCCGCAATTCGAACAGGTGATCATGGGCTCCCCGACTAGCCCTAGGTTCCCCTTTATAAGGCTGCGTACTGAACGGTAGGACTAGCTAAAGTCAACCAAGGTGGAACCTGGCTGGGGTAGTACGGGGGAAGCAGGTGCATCCATAAGAGGAGGGCTATGCAGTAGGTTTTGGGGTTTAGAGATTGGGAATGCAAACTACCATTTTCTTGGGATTGACACAAGCTCCGAAACCCTCAAAGACGGGCTATTACAGGGATCCATTCTCCCATTCCCAACTAACAGCCAGTTAGCCTGAGCTCGAAGAGGGTAGGGTAAAGGAGGGCTTCGGATTCAGGATTCAAAGTCAAGGAGGTAAGCCAGTGGGACTGGGCTTGAGGCTTAAGGTTTAGGATTGCAGGTTGAGGTTTGTAAGGTAAGAGATATAGGGCCCATATTAGTATATGACTACAATATGACTATACTCTTACAACATTACTACTTCTACTATAAGATCACTATGAAACAACGACGTTATCATAGGGTTTGTTAAGGTCTGGGTTCTGCGAGTTCAGGGTTCTGGTTTGCGGGCTAGGGTTCGAGAGCTAGGGGAGGACAGGCTGACATCAGGATTCACGAAGGATCCTGTAAGGTTGGGGGTGAAGAAACACCCAATGTAGGGCCTACATAATTATTCAAACGGAGAAAACACAAATCGTAAAATGGAAGCTGAGTTTAGAAAACATTTTACGGGGAAAACGGTACGTAATGTAATTAGGCTAGTTAGGGGTCGAAATAGTTGCAAGAGGGTTTGGGGTGGTGCATATCTTGATATTGCTGCATTTGTTTACATAAAGGTTAGGCTCCGTCTACATTTGCTGCTGTTGATGGGGGGCTTCTGGGGCTTCATATCGAAGACTTTAAGTTCGTACCCGTTATGTTTGTAACCCTAGGTTTTGGGTCCCAAAGATCCTTATTCATGGCCATATTTCCATGGCTTAGGGACTCAAACTCAAGGGTACAAACCCTGAGGGTACAAAGGAAAACTCCCTGAATATCACAGCCGAGAAGCGAGGGGCAACCCGGAACCCTTAAACCCTAAACCCTGTACCCTTAAAGTTTGTAAACTTGGGTTTAGGGACCCAAACGCCCTCATAAAGAGCAATATTGTATGGTTTAGGTTGGGTACTGCCCCCCCTCAGTAACAGTTGGATAATGTTTATAATAGGGTTATTCCCCACCCTCGCAGTGGGGTTGTTAGATTTTAAAGTAGATGTTGTCCTCGCCCGACTGGAAGCTGACTTTCGTGACCAACCACCAAGTATCCCTGCACTGCCCA